GACATGCAGATCTGTCCTGGCAGAGGAGGGAGAGCTTGTACCTGAATAAAACTTGGTCTTAAAGGTGCCACTGGACTGTTTTGGACTGGGGGGCCGGATCTCTGCAGCTTATCTGGCTGCTTCTTGCTCTGACTGAGGGCTGCTGGGAGCAGGGGGTGGGGCTTGTTGCATGTGCCCGCCCCCTGGGCTCTTTACTGCCGGAACTCCGCTCCTGCAGGAAAGGACCCCTGCGTATGGGTGCACACATCCCAGCGAGGTTGTTCGTTGGCCTTGTCTTGCCTAGCTTCTGGCAATTCAGGTCTCTCTTTTTTTAGCTAGCATGCTGTAATGGTTAAAGTGTAGGACTAGGATCTGGAAGCTTGCTGGGGGACCTTGGGCCAGTCACTTTCACCCAGCCTCGCTTACCTCACAGGGTTGTTGTGATGATAAAATGGAGGGGGGGAGAAGGATGCGACCTACTGTGAGTCCCCGCTGAGAAGAAAGGGGGAATACAAATAAAGTAAATATTATAATCCCTCTTTTTGCCTCCCTGCCTTGGAACCCTAGGTCAGCTGTACGGAGACATCCTTTACTTCTACACCGAGTACCGCGATGGTTTCACCCACAGTGAAATGGGACACCCCCTCTACTTCTGGTTCTATTTCGTCTTCATGAACGGCCTGTGGATCGTCATTCCCGCTCTCCTCATCCTGGACGCCTGGAAGCACCTCAGCGCTAGCCAGAGAGTGATGGATGCCGGCAAGTCGAAGAGACACTAACAGACTTGCCTGGGAGGGCCAAAACGGGAAGCGGCTCCATCGCCAAGTATCGGGACAGCGCCATAACTCCATTGCCTGAGGGGTGGTGGTGGTCCTCCTTCTCTCCCAGGTCCATTCTGCATTCTAGCTTGAGACAGTGCAAGGCGCGAGGACTGACATACGGCTCAGGCACTGCTCACCGCTTTTCCCCACACTGGACTTTGGTAGCTTTTTTCTGTACACCTTAACAGCTGTGGATAGGGCTGGGCTGTGAGCGACAGAGAACCCCTTGTCCTGTTTCCACAGAGTAAGCCCTGGGTTAAAACGGTGGCTGCCCGGAACAGTGTCGCCCGTTGGAGAACATAGAATATAACTGTGTTCTCCAGTTTAATGGTATTTTGTGTAAACCGCCCTGGGAGATCCTTCTGGATTGAAAAGGTGGTGTGGAAAATCAAACCAACCAACAGAGCACTGCTGCTGAGTCGGCGCCTGGAGCTTGGTCTCTCTTCTGGCTGCAGAGCTGTGAACCGTGCAGCCGTTTGGCACGCAGTCTCGCTTAGCAGCAGGGCCTCTTTCTTTGCTGGGCCTTTCTGTCTCTCTCCCAGACTTGGGCCAACGTGATTTTAAGCTGAGAGAGAGACACAGAGCCGCGTTGAGAGAGCTGTGTGTGTCGGTCTGTCCCAATGGTAACAAGAACTCTGCCGGTCACCTGGAGGCCTTTTTTGGTTAAACTCAAAGCAAATGGCTGGTGAGGTCTAGCTGCCAGTTACAGGGGTCTCCAATGTGGTGTCCACGGGCTCCGTGGCACCTGCCGACACCTTTCCTGGCGCCTGCCAGGTGCGTTTTAGAAAGTGGGCAAGGCTAGGTGCGGCTTCTCCCCAACAGGGCTTGTGGTTGGCTGTACAGATTAAAAGTCATTAAGACTTATAAGGAATGCTATCTATGTATTACCATCTGAAGCACTACAACATGATAAACAAATAATAAGAAAATCCTTGAACCAAGGTACATAATCAACATCGTCTCCGGATTATATAACGACGTTTCAAAAAATGGATCTTCTTCAGGAGATATTCTGTAGTGTACAAAAATACAATTTTTAGAATACATAACAAGAGACAATACAATAATCCTAGTGCTGTCTTACATAATGGTGCAAAAGCTCTCTCATAAATGCTAGACAATAAGTCTTAAGAAATCTGTAATATAGTAATGTTCCCTTTGTTATGAAGGACAAAAAAGGGGAAAAAAGACTGAACCTAAAACCTAGAATTCAGAACCTATAAAGGTTAGTCAAGAATAGATACCTCATATGAATAGGACCTTATTCGTTATTTTAATTTGTTTAATAAATACATGTATATTTTTTTAGGTTTTTTAGCACTAAGATTTTAAGAGTTGGCCCTCTTCTATTCTTGACTAACCTTTATAGGTTCTGAACCCTTTGTTATGAAAACATACAAGATATTTCAGTCCATTTGCAGAAATCGACCTTTCATGTTTTTTGTAAACTATATGATATTTTCTTTAAGTGTACTGCCTCCTACCACCCACCACCTGTTAGCAATTTGCAAGGTCCCTTTAATTGCACTCTGGTAGCAATCACCAGAGAGAAACACCCAGGATCCATTAGAAACATAGCAGCATTTTGAGCCTGAATGTTAACTGAGATCAGCGTCCTATCTGAATTTAGTGTAAGTTACTACTAGGTTGATTATCTTTAAGTACTTTGTAATTTGAAATATCTTGTATGTTTTCATAACAAAGGGAACATTACTATATATATTACAGATTTCTTGTTGTCTAGCACTTATGAAACAGCTTTTGCACCATTATGTAAGTAAGATAGCACTAAGATCAGGGCTGGCTCCAGCTTATTTTGCACCCTAGGCGAGAATCCCCCCCCCCCCCCCGCCCC